AAATCTTTTAAAAAAATTAAATTAAATTAAATCAGTGGGGCTCTTTCAGAAATCGAATAGGCATGTCCCCCATCTCCTATTGACCTGCTGTTGTTAGAGCTTTTATGAGGAAAATGGTGCCCAGTGTGTTACTTCTGTCACAGGCATTCTCATCCTTTCTCACTAAAGATACAGCAAAAAACCCAATCATCTGTTAACCCTTTTTAGATCCATTGATTAGAGATGGGTTCTGATCAGAAGCTATGGGGCCATCCTTTTAAGGTAAAAGTGAGCAGACACCTTTTTGTTACAAAGGTTGTCTAAAAAAAAATATTTTAACTGATTATGATGATTTATTTCTCTTCCTTCCCTTTTATTTGAAACACATCTTGTTTGTTTTAGAAATCTCCTTTCTTCTATATCTGTGAAGCAAAACACAATATAAACAATTCTGTCATCTGTGATAATGGGTATTAGGTACACTTTGGACACAGGAGCTTACTAATTATCTTTTAAATTTCTTTGAGTCAACTTTTTCCACTTTTTTGGTGAAGGTGCTAGTAAGCATAAATTGCCAAAATAGTAGGTCTTCTCTATTGCATTTGTCCCATAATTGTTTATTTTGCCAAGTTTCAGTGCAGTTTTGCTACAAAGACGAGGAACTGACCATTCCTTCAGTGAACATTTATTGAGCCCCTGTGGTGTGCCAGACCCTATTTTAGCTGCTGAAGATACAGAAGTGAAATTCTGTAGACAAGGAAGGCCCTTTCTTTCCCAGGGCTGACCTTGTAGTGGTGAAAAACAACCACAAACCGATGAACAAATATATACACAAGACATTTGGGATGGTAGTAAGTGTTGGGAGAATAAAATAGGATGGAAAGAATATATATGTGAGGGAGTTACTCTAGATTGGAGTTGAGGAAAGGTCTCCTTGAAGCTGTGACAGCTGAGACTTGAATGACAAGTGGGGGCCAGCCATGTCAAGATCAGGGGGAGGAGCATTCCAGGCCAACAAAACAGCTCCTTTCACGGGGCCTACGGCAGGAACCCATGTGGTGAGTGTGCTGACCCAGGAAATCAGAGGGATGGGGAAGTTTAGAGCTAACAGAATTATTATACAAGTGAATTAATCCAATGGCTTTTGCAGTTTAAATGTTTATGGTTGTGATCATTTAGATCTTAGAATCTGTGTCATGATTTCAGGATTAGACTCAGTCATTATCCAAGATTCACACTGGAGAAAGTCAATCTTTCAAAGTCTATGTGGTATATACTGCTTTGAAGCCTCAAATTTCCCATGATAGACAGGACACTAATAGAGTCTGGTGTTATATTCTTAAATTAAATTTGCCTTGGAAGTAATCACGCATGTGATGAACATAGTAACAAACAACTTCCTTCATCTTTTACTGTAATAATTGCTCTCAAGGATTGTAAGAGCTTATAGACAGTTGGAGCATCCAGTTTTAAAGTTAACTGGATAGGGAAGAAAGCTATTGTGGATAAAGTTTCAGATTTTCTTGGATTTTTTGGTATCTGCATAACAAGAGACCCGGTGAGTTGCCAGCACATAACAAGCCAGAATCCTGGATCCAGAGAGCATTTGTGATGTCCAGCCAACAAAAAACTGCTTTTCCTCCCAAAGGGTGGTCTCCAAATCTGTTGTAGCCTTTGGCAAGATTTTTATATCACAATTGGAAACAGATGCCCTTTCTGCCCTCTCCCTTGTTGTCAGAATTACTACCGTTGGCGGGGGGGGGGTGGTGTGAGCCATGGTGGTCCGTCATGCACCTTTAGAATGCCCAGCCATAGTCCTCAGTAGACATTCCTATTCAGAAGCCTTGTATGAAACACTCTGCAATGGAGAGTAGATATGAGAAGGTGCCAGGTTTGTGAAGTTCTGATCATCTGCTCGGTGCATTCTGAATGTTTCTTGTCACAAAGCAAAACACGAGTCCTAAGGTTTAGTATAAAACATCTTTCTGGGGGCACCTGGGTGGCTCAGTTGGTTGAGCACCTGCCTTCGGCTCAGGTCATGATCCCAGGGTCCTGGGATTGAGCCCCGCATTGGGCTTCCTGCTCAGTGGAGAGTTTGCTTCTCCCTCTCCCTCTGCCCCTCTCCTGCTTGTGCTCTCTCTCTTTCAAATAAATAAATAAAATCTTTAAAAAAAATAGAACACCTTTCTGGATGGTTTCTATTTTAGAATATTTAATCCTAGTGGAAAATATTTCATCCTAAAGGACTATGTAATCCTAAAGAAAAACTAAAACATACTGTCCCTAATGGACTATATTGAGTTTTATCCCAGGATGTGGCCCTAAAATGTGCCTGTATTTTATATACATGACATTGGGAATCCAGACTATCAAAAATCACTGTAAATTCTTGACTAAAAGAGACTTATGAGATATAACAATGAAATATAGTGTGTGGGCTTTGTTTGGATCCTGGTGTAAATCAACTAAAATTTAAACGACAACTGGGAAAATTGAATATGCAAGAGTGGTATAGAGTCAAGAGAGTGTTTCCAGCTGGGGCCATCATGGCTTCTCAGAGCATAAAAAATTTAAACTGAAACAGGTGAAATTTTGAGAGGGAGAGAAAGGACAGGAAATGATTTCTGTGTGGCTACCAGTATCCTGAGAAGCGAGGAGTGTTTGAGTAACTCTAAGTAGGGGAGTTTGGCTGGAGGGAAGACCTCCTGCTGGGACCGAGCCTGCTGAGGGCAGGAATCTGGATAATGGGAAACACTGGTGAGGCAGTAAAGGTTTGGGGCAGTAACCTGAGTAGGGCTGTGTGTTAGGAGCTCAGTCTGGCAGTGTTGTCCTTAAGGGAGGTTGCAGGGAGGAGAGATTAAGACAGCAGTATCAATTTAGAAACTACTGCGAAATAGTTCAAGTGGGAAAGGAAGAAAAGTGTAAATTTGGGTGATGACAGTGGCAATATAAGGGAGGGATGATTACAAGACACGTTGCCAAAGAACTGACTAGATTTGATGACTGAATTTAGGTCCTCTTTGAAAGAGAACAGGAAAATTCATATGAATTTTGTATCATTTCATTGATGTAAGTAGTTAACTGTAAGTTTAATATACCTAATGTGACTGAATTGAGACTGTTTTTAATTTTTTATTAATTTATAGAAAGGTAGCCCCACCCTTGTAATTACTGAACTTTACACAAATCCTAAGAATGGCTTCACTTCCTCTAGCCATGGCTGCTTTTTTACCCATCTCCAAGAGTTGGACAGTGCTGTGGAAGGGAAAAAAATTTAATAAAATAAAATTTTATTAAATAATAATAAAATAAAATAATAATAAAATAAAAATAAAATAATAATAAAATTTATTGGTTCATTAAGTGAAATGTGACAGCACCTCTGAAAAAGTAGTAAAAGTCTAGGGAGAGGAACCTGGAGGCTGACTCTGGAGGATCAAGTCATGTAGAAAAGGCTACCTCAAGAGGATGTTCATTGTCCAGTGGAGTGGCAGAACCAGCTGCAAGGAGGGAGCTGGGGAATAAATCCTCTGACCTACTCTCTTTCTTCCCATTTCTCAATGATCTCCCTTTCCCTAGTCTAGACGGCAAGGGAACCCAGGGGTGTAATCATATGGGTCAGCCTCCTGAGAGTAGAACTGGGGGTGCAGACAGAAGGTAATGGTCATAGCATCCTCTTTACAACATCTAACAACATAGGGGAAGGGGGAAGCCTTGGAAGGAGATCTTCATAGAATCATAAAATGTTAGACCTGGAAGTAATTCTCAACCTCATTTTAGAGATGGGAAAATAGAACCGTGTAGAGGTAGCAGCTGGGTACAGCTAATTGTCACAGAGCTGAGAAAAAAGGACAGACGTTGTGATTCGCAGCCCTGGCTCTTTCCAGTAGGCTAGGTAGCTTCCATATAATCACAAATTCCCCAGGGCCACAGCACCAGCTCAGCCACTTCAGCAAGGTTGAAAACAGTAAGGAGGTCCCAGTTGTTATTCAAGGGAGTGTGTATGCATTATAGATAAAGCCATTGCAATAGGACATATTTCTGTAACTGAAGTTAGAGTCACTGTGGATAATCTAGAAAGTACAGAAATGTGTTAAGGAGAAAATAAAATCACCCATAATGTAACACAGAGATAATAATTGTTAATGTTTTGGTGCTTTCTTCGAAGTTTTAGAAATTAAAATTTACATAAATTGTGTATATGTGAATGCAAAATTAGTATCAATTGTACATACAGTTTTGTATCTTGTTTTTTCACTTGATAGTGAATAATTTCCTAAGAGTAAATTGTCTTAGAATCTGAGTTTTAATAGCAGTAACATTTTTAATGGAGGTAGCTTAATTTCTAAAATGTTTTCTGTTATTAGACATTTGTTTCCTATTTTCTGCTAGATAATGCTGCTGTATGTGTGTGTGTGTACATATATAAGTAATTGTGCTGATCTGCAGGATACATTTTTATAAATAGAATTGCCAGCGTAAGCATTTTCAGTGGTCCTTTCTGGTGGGTCACAGTGGAAAGAATGTAGCCCTGGGATCAGACATCCTGATCACTACTCCGCTTCTCCAGTTTCTGGATGTGTGACCTTAGGCATGTGAGTTCAGTCTGCTATCTGTTAAACAGGGATCATGCTGCCACTCCCCCAGTGCCCTGAGGAGAACTCTGTGAGACAGTGCCTCTAAAGGGCCTGACGCATAGCGAGTGCCCAACACACATTACCTCCCCTCCCTGTGGGATGAGTTAGTTTGCACGCACGTGTGTGCACACGTCTGAGTGTGCAGAATGAAGGGAAGAAAGTGTACTTCTGACACTGTGTCCTGTATCAAAAAAAAAAGTAAAACTGACTTGAAAAGAGACAAATGTAGACTATGAAGGTTTCTTTCGGTGAAAGAGAGACCTATTTAAAGTCTAAGGTGTTGATAAGGAAGATAGACATGGAAGTCCTCAGTGACTATTTTTCTTTGCACTGGGTTGTCCGTAAATATTTCTAACCTTGTTGCCCGTCCCCTTTCTTCCTAAGTGCTCATCTTCAAACTCTACCAGCGGGCAAAGCACGTGTACAGCGAGGCTACGCGGGTGCTCCGGTTTAAGAAGATATGTGAGGAAGCACCTGACAACACGGTCCAGCTGCTGGGGGAGTTAATGAACCAGAGCCACACGAGCTGCCGGGACCTGTGCGAGTGCAGCTGCCCCGAGCTGGACCAGCTGGTGGACATCTGTCGGTGAGGCTGACAGAGCAGCATGGCGGCGGTGGGGTGACGCTGCCCAGGAAACTGTCTAAATGGATGAAAACAATGCAATATTTTCATAACCCTCTAAGTGCCTCACTTCCTGAGGTCTTGTATACAGAGCTAAACTTGTTCCCTCCTCAATGTCTGAGGGAGAAAGATTGGACTCCAGAGCTTTATGAGGCTCCAGGTGTGGAATCAGTTCTTCCCATCTTTCCATCTTGGGATGACTCGGTATATTTCAGGGAGCTTTGCTTAGACAGGGATGCTGCTGTTACTTTCTCATCATGTTTTCATCAGTGGTATCCACTATAGCGGTGCCCTGCAGCATCTTCTATTTGGTATCCTACGTTTGGTAGCTTTATTCAAAAGAAAGGAGAAAACAGAAAGAGGGCCTCAAACCTGATCAGAGTGTATTCGGGGGCAGGGGAGGTTGATGAAGGAGTTACTCGGAAAGCCGGCATCCTCTGCCATCCAGATTTAAGTTAGGCAAGTTGGAGAAGTAAGGATTTGATGAAACCCTGTTTTATAACTGGTTGGTTGAGACAGGAATGTAAAGAGGAAAACTCTTTCACAAAGCCTGACAACAGCTTCCTTATAATTGTTAGAGAATGGGGGTAATGGATAGAGTAGCCTGGTCACTTTACCCAGAAGGGATTTCACTGACCTTGGGAAAACTAAATGGGAAATGGGGAGAACTCTCTAATGGCTAGATGTTATTTCCACTGTGAGAAGATGATACAGAACTGCCTGCAATTAGTCATGAAAATATCATTAACCACTTGGCGCCTATGGCTTGCCTCACTCATTGCTACACTCCCAGCTTGAAAAGTATAAATCAACTAGCTCCAGTGATCACAAATGGCGTGTATAACCCAACTTGTAGAGAGATTTGAACATAGCATTGATGAGAATCCTTCTGTTGACGTCAGAGTTTGCTCACTAATTGCCAAAAAGCCTTCCAGAGCTTGTTCCATTAGAAGTGCTCTTTTCTGAAAGTATCAAGGGCCCAGTAAATGGAAGGGACAAATATTGTTCAGTTCTGGAAATCAGAGGAAGTGGGATGATTTGTGCAGAAATCAGGAAGAAGTGTCTTTGCCTGGAAGGTAGTGGGATAGTTTGAATTCCACATGAAAGGCAGTGAAGGGGCATTTGCCAGCCTCCTGGACTTCCCTAAAGAACTTTCTCTTCCTGGGATGGCCAATCAGCTCTTGCTCTTTTGGAGTCTACATTCTCATGGGGAAAGAGGGAGGGGACAATTAAAAATAAATCGAGTGGTAGTAATAAGTGCTATGGGAAAAAAAAAAAACAGAGAAGGGATAGAAGGCACCAAGGTTGGGTGGATAATCTTTCTAGGAATTGGTTGAAGAAGGCTTCTCTGAGGAGATGATGTTTGCGCAGAGACCTGAAGGAAGTGAAGAAAGGAGAACGGCAAGTGCATGGGCCCCGAGGTGGGGACGTGGCCGCCATGTGTGAGGAACAGCTAGCAAAGCGGTAAGGTTGGAGGGCAGTCAAGGAGGAGAGAGTGGCAGGTGATGAAGGAAGAGAGGTCGTGGGGGAGGCATACAACCTGGGCCTCGTGGGCCATCGGAAGGGCTCTGGCTTTGGGTGGAAAAAGGTGGTAGTGGAAGCGCTGCAGGATCTGGTGCCAGATGTGCCTCGAGGGAAGATGCAAAACATCACCCTGGTGAAAGACAGGAATCGAGAGGACTGCTGGGCTTTTCGCCTGAGAAATTTTCCTCGTTCCTCTAGAAGCCACATTTTGGGAAGCCCGATTTCACAGTTTGGGTTCGGGATTATCTCGTAGTACCGTAAGGTGGGAGAGTAGGAAGGAACCTGTGAGATCCAAGAAGGCACTGAGAGGTGAAGTGATTTCAACCATGTGATGAGTCAGTGCGAAGCCGAGCTCCCGACCCAGTGTTTTTGCCACTCCTCTTTCTCTTCCCTTGGGTTTACCAAGATATGGAATGTGGGTCATTTTTGTGTGTGTGTGTTTTTTTACCTATTTTCCTCTCCTGGCTTAAAAGCTTTAATAATGGAAACTTTGGTTGTTACAGGGTGCAGTGTTTGAACATTGAACAAAACCATGCTGAGCAGGGGAGGCGGTGTGTGTAGTAGGAGGCCAACTGCGTTGAAGTTAGGAAGGCTGAGTTCTAGCTCTGCCACTTTCCCTTTTGAGCCGTGTGTCTTTTTCTGTTCTAGCAGTCCATAGGGCTGTGTATGTGTATATATTTTAAAGATTTTATTTATTTGAGAGAGAGAGAGAGAAAGAGAGAGAGCACAAGCAGGGGGAGCAGCAGGCAGAGGGAGAGGGAGAAGCAGACTTCCCGCCGAGCAGGGAGCCTGACACAGGGCTTGATCCCAGGACCCTGGGATCATGACCTGAGCCAAAGGAAGATGCTTAACGATTGAGCCACCCAGGCACTCCAGGTCTATATATTTTTAAAAATATGGGTCCAGTGAAAGATTTAGTGGCTATGTCTTAAAAGGGTTTAGAAGTGCACCTTTTATTTATTATTTCACTAATTTGTTTTTGGAAGCTCCTTTCTTAATAGCTTAATTAATAATGGAATTTAACACTTAAATACTTTCTTAAAATACTTCTGTCTAGCCCATTTTCATCTGCTATATTTTCTGAGGAAAATACAGTTGTGTCTAGTATAAGGAGCGCCCTCTCCTTTTTATGGTTGTTTTTGTTTGGGAAGTCAATTGCTAAGCATCAAAATTAGTTTCTACCTATTCCATAACCATATAGGGACCAGGTTTCCCGTATTGAAAGGTTACCTTTGGGCATGTTGTAAATATTGGCCAGAATAGTTGTCGGGTCCTTAAACTTCTTATATAATTATTTTTTTCTTTGCTGTCACTGTGACCAGAAGATATTCTTCAAATATTCCTGTTGGTTGCCAGTTACTAAAAGGTCCTAAGTGGCGACGAACCTCAGAGGACAGCCCTCCGGGAACTCTCACTGATGCCATTCCTCCCTTGAGCGAGCAAAAGCTTTTCAATTGGGTATTTGTGTCCTATGTGAGACCGAAGTCTAAACCCCACTTTCAAGAGCTCTGACACACACTTTTTTTTTTTACTTTAAATTTTTTTATTGTTATGTTAATCACCATACATCATTAGTTTTTGATGTAGTGTTCCATGATTCATTGTTTGTGCATAACACCCAGTGCTCCACGCAGAACGTGCCCTCTTTAATACCCATCACCAGGCTAACCCATCCCCCCACCCCCCTCCCCTCTAGAACCCTCAGTTTGTTTCTCAGAGTCCATCATCTCTCATGGTTCATCTCCCCCTCCGATTTACTCCCCTTCATTCTTCCCCTCCTGCTATCTTCTTCTTCTTTTTTTTTTCTTAACATATATTGCATTATTTGTTTCAGAGGTACAGATCTGTGATTCAACAGTTTTGCACAGTTCACAGCGCTCACCATAGCACATACCCTCCCCAATGTCTATCACCCAGCCACCCCATCCCTACCACCCCACCACCACTCCAGCAACCCTCAGTTTGTTTCCTGAGATAAGAATTCCTCATATCAGTGAGGTCATATGATACATGTCTTTCTCTGATTGACTTATTTCACTCAGCATAACACCCTCCAGTTCCATCCACGTCATTGCAAATGGCAAGATCTCATTCCTTTTGATGGCTGCATAATATTCCATTGTGTATATATACCACATCTTCTTTATCCATTCATCTGTCGATAGACATCTTGGCTCTTTCCACAGTTTGGTTATTGTGGACATTGCTGCTATAAACATTGGGGTGCACGTACCCCTTTGGATCACATTTGTATCTTTGTGGTAAATACCCAGTAGTGCAATTGCTGGATCGTATGGTAGCTCTATTTTCAACTGTTGAGGAACCTCCATACTGTTTTCCAGAGTGGCTGCACCAGCTTGCATTCCCACCAACAGTGTAGGAGGGTTCCGCTTTCTCTGCCTCCTCACCAACAGCTGTCATACAAGCTGAAATCTTAATGTGATCTGAGCTAGACTATATTCAAAAGGCATCTCTAGGTAGCTAGCCTATAAGGATACTGTGTAAGAAGGTACTAGATGACCCAAGTGGAGAGAAGAGGGGGAAAAAGAAAGGATATTTTTTTTCAGCTGAGGCTTTTACTGTTCTTTAAGAGAAAATCAGTTTAGCATCCAAAGAAAGGACCAGGTAGGGAGAAGGAAACTACATTTATGCAGTTAGACTGTTTACTATTTTTATTAAATTAATGTTAGAAGACGTCAATTATGTGAAAGTGTAATAATGAAAGGAAAAGATGAAGCTTGTCCAATTATAAAATAACTCTATTAAATGAACAAAATGTAAATTTTAAGATACAGCTAAATTGTGAAGTAGGATTCATTGAGAAACGCAGTACAGTTCTGAAACCAAGTCAGTTATATCATTCGTTATCGGTTTTCTTGGTTACACTTAAGAAAAAATAGCTAATGCCTTTTATTTCTGTTTTGACACTTGGTGAAATTAGAGACCTCATTGCTGCATCATTGTCCAAGCTATTAAAGAAGATGAATGACAAATGTTAATAGACTAGCAAAGAATCCAAAAGTTAATTTGCTATCTTCCTCAGAAATCTTTTCAAGCTTTATTCCACAGCTCTGCTGCTCAGTCTCTTGCACCCATTCTCCTGACCATGTCAGGGAAGAATGAAGTGTAAACCTGTATTTGTATGTTCCCTTTCTCATGATCTTGAGGTTAATCTTTACACTCTGACATATAAAGGGAGAGGCCCATTTCAGCTGCACTTAGGGGCTCACTTCTCTTTGGGCCTGTCTTCTTACTGTCCTCTCCATCACCCACCCCCACCCATATTATATAGATGCCATCTGTAGGAACCAACTCAACTGGTCTTTCATTGCCTTTAGTGGCTTACATTTCTCAGATAGACTTACATAGTTATATTTTCTTGTACTTTCTCATTTGAACAGTATTTGAAGTTTGTGGTTTCTTGAATCTAAAACAATCTGCAAGTGTTTCCAACTTGGCTGCAAAAATCATAGAAATTGTTCTGGAAGGTCTGTTTCCCTGAGATTGTAGCCAGAAGATTCTAGACTTTAAAGCAGAAGCTAGAAGTCTTTCCACATATAGAATACATTACTAACAGCTTATATTTATATATAATATACATATGTGAGCTGTCTCACATGTAACTTAAAATTGTTTTCTGTGCCTCAGAAAATTCTATTTTAAAATTTAGCTATTTCTTAAAAAATATATTTTGTTCAGGGGTGCCTGGGTGGCTCAGTTGGTTGAGCATCTGCCTTCGGCTCGCGTCATGATCCCAGAGTCCTGGGATCGAGTCCCACATCAGGCTCCCTGCTTAGTGGGGAGCCTGCTTCTCCTTCTCCCTCTGCGTGCCGCTCCCCCTGCTTGTGTTCTCTCTTCTCTCTCTTGCAAAAATAAATAAAATCGTTAAAAATATATATATTTTGTTCATTCAAAAGAGATATTTTATAATTGTTTGGACATGGTCTCTTTATTATTATACTTTGTTTCACGTAATTGAAGTTTTCTAACCTTAATTTAATAACAAAATAAACGGCCTGAATTTATATTTTGATATTTTAAAACAAATATAATAATAATCCAACAAGGATTTATTAGAAGCTACCAAATGTTTGGAATTGTGCTGGGCTGGGGTTAGAGAGATATAACCTGTCTCTAAATTCAAAATATTTGGAAATAATTATATAAATATTTTGAAATAAATAAAATTGAATTGAAATACAATACAATACAATCCCTTGCTTCTTTCCTTCTTTGTAGTTTATAGCAGAGCTGGGTCTTACTGGATCTCCTTCCATCCCCGTACCTTTTTCTGTACCTTGTATCTTAGTAAGTGCTTTATGGTCCAATCAGTTCGTTTAGAGTAGAACATTTTCGTCAGGCTATATTAGGTGCCTGGAAAATTAGTTATATGGATGTACTTTTCAGTGATAAAAGGATCAAAGGGAACATTCTTTATAATCTTATCTTTCATGTGCCCTAGCCGTTGTTTCGTTTCATAGATCACACTTATGATAAGGCAGAGGCTGCTTTTGTTGTTTTGACTAACCCTTCCACATTATTTCCCGTCCGGTCACCACAAAGAAGTGGTTTTTGGGGGATTCTAAGGTTTTGGTTTTCGTAAGTCTTGTATTGCTTCTCTGATGTGCAAGACCTCAAGGATCTGTATTTTTAATGTCTTAACTGTTCTCACAGGAAAAACATGGCTCACCCACTCTTCTTTCTTAATATGAAGCTTATACTGGTCTCCTAACTTCTGGATTTCTCTGAATTTCTACGGCATATGCCAAAGGGCATACATATTAAGGACCAGTTTGGAACACTGCAGACAGGACCTTTCTGCCCTTTGTCAGTGTTTATAGCCGGGCAGGCTGCTGACCAGCTCCTGGGGCAGCTCCCTGATTTGTGACCACAAGTGCCATTGACTCAGGGGCAGAAGGCTATTTGTAATAGCATTTATCATTCTCTGCTTGGGAAATTGGAGCCCTGATGATTTCAGATCATGTGGCTGATGCAGCCTCATCCATTTCCATCTGCAGCAGGCAGGGTGGCGACAGAGCACTTCTGGAGACTCGGAAGTGAATATATTTACCCAGAAAGACTTCTAGCTTCTGCTTTCTGGAGACTGGCAGGATACTGAGGAAAATAAGCCCTTTGGCACAATTCCTATGGGTTTTGCAGCCAGTTAGAAACAACACTCAGTTTGCTTCAGGTTCAGTTTTGAAACCACAGCTTTCAGAAACTGTTCAAATGAGAAAGTGTAAGAAAATATGCCTGGAAGTCCATTGAAGACCATAAAGGACCTGGTTGGTTTGAGTCCAGCACAATGAAAAAGCTTGGATCTTAGAGAATCACGTGGGACGGCACCCTGTTGTTCTCTAGACCATGCCCCGGATGGCTTTGATGCCCTGATGTTAGGGTCTTCCAGAGATGCCTCAGCGACACCTCCTTTTTTATTTCAGCATCTTCCATGGGAAAGATAGTCTGATGTGACTGCATATCACAACTTATTTTTTTTTTTGTTTTTTCTTTCAAATCACTAAGTTGCAGAATGACCCTTTGCCAGCCTGGGAACTCAGAATTATCCTAGAATCTCCTAGAATCCCACAGAGAAACTTTTCAGCCTGGATGATAGGAGTCCAGGCTCAGTTCAGCTACTGGGCTATAAGCTGAATGTCTGAGGGACAGCAGGAGATGAGTAATCTTTATTATTTGCAAGCATCTTGTTTTCTTCCTTAAACATCTATTTTCACTTGAAAAATAAACTTTAATGAATAAAACAGATGATGAAAAGGAATCAACTGAAAAAATCATTGAGGGGAAAATGAATTACTGGTGTGCCATAAATCTGATGTCCTAGAGGAGGTTTAATATTCTATTGATATTTTCCAGGAAGTAAAGTAGCTCATTTAGATGGAAAAAAGGGGACAAAATTGTGCTAAACTAATTATGGAGTTTTTAATCTGCTATGAATTTGGAGTAAATTTTATTAGGAAGAATTGGAAGTACATGTTAACTTTTATTATCAGGATAAATTACATCTTTTAAAGATGAGGGACCCTTGTGCTTTGCATAGGGCCTCTCACTTTGGTACAGATCTTAGGTTTGAAACTGTGCCTGGTTGATGGTTTGGGTTTCCATCCCCGATCACACAGTTTGGCTAATGGTAAATTCTGAGTCCAGTCGTTAGACCAGCTCCCAAAGGTGCAGGGAAGATGCATATGGACCTGTAGAGGCCATTGTCCTTTTTGTGGAAACGTCTGCATAACTTCCCATTAGAGATTAAACAGACAAACTGATCTAGAGTTTAATAACATGTTCTTTGTGGATAAATTTATTCAGCACAAATCTAGGCTGTCTGTTCTAGGGGATGGATTCTTTTATGTGGAATAGCCAAGCCTTAAGAACACACCTTAAACAGCCACTGGAGGAAGTCCTCACTTATATAAGACTTGCACTTTAAATTTGGATTTGACCTCATTTGGAGCCACCTTCTGACTCATAATGTTGATCATGCCTGTTGCCTCTTGATCGCCTGCAAGCTTGCTGTATACAACTGCTTAATTGGTGACTTTATGGGATCAAGACTATATAGTGGGTTATTGTCAGCTCTCACCAAATAGTACTGCTAACTTTTACTGCTTGGAGCCAGAATCATGGCCTAGTTTTAGATACAATTAAATTCCCAGTCATCTTCTGAAACACTGTAAATTTCTTCATGTCCTAAAGTGTTTGGCCACACTGAACTACCCTCCCCCTCCCCCCCAAAGAAGCCCACACATATTCTCTTCTTAGAACTTGAGTAGGCTGTGTCTTCTCTCTACGCACCAGGCAAACCACTCTCATTTTCATTTACGGGTTCTAATGTGTGTTTTTTTTCTCATTGTTTTAGGAAGTTTGGGGCTCAAGGGTCACGACTCACTGGAGCAGGATGGGGAGGCTGCACAGTATCACTAGTACCTGCTGACAAGCTGACCAGCTTCCTAGCAAACGTGCACGAAGCTTATTACCAGAGGAGCGACCGAAACGTAACATCTGAGAAGCAGAGTTTGTTTGCTACCAAACCTGGAGGCGGGGCTTTGGTTTTCCTTGAGGCCCAAACAATGTAGAAAATCTCAGAGAAACTATTTAGGGCATTTAGGCACTGGCAGAACTTCTTATGCCACAGTAAATTAATCCTCTTTCTGTTTTGTATTATGATGAACGGTTGCTATTATCAAGATGTATTTCCAAAGAAATGGTTGAAAGCTCTCTATGCTTCATAATGATTATTTTTCCATTTTAAAATATGTTTCTACCAGTAAGAGCCAAAGTTATGCTTGGACAGTTCCCTTAAGGATGATTTACTGAGATTTACTGATTTCAGGATTTTTAAAGATGAATGATAAAAGACATTCAATACTGACCCCATGGATTGGCGTTGAATTAAACATACTGCTACAATTAAAAGGATACAATTGCATTGTATGCCATATTCTTAAACACAGTTCATTTCTGGTTTCTCTGGACTTTCTTCTTCTTCATAGTTGTAGTCTTCTGTTGATGATGATGATGAGAGTGATGCCAGAAACTCTTTCTTGGCTCGAGCTTCAGAACGCTATTAAAATAATACGTTATTAAAGATTCATAAATTTTCCCGGATACTTGAATGTGAGGTTACACCAATTATCAAGATGAGAAGAATCACTTTTTTTTTTTTAAAGCAAAGATGGATTTAGGCTCATTTACTTTTAAAAAACTATGTGCTATCACATAAATAATCACTTTTAATTCTTTTGGCCCTGAGCTTTCTCTATCACTTAATAGAGAAACTTAGATAAAAGACGCCTTCCGTCTTTATCTCTATTCACACTGAAATAGAGAATTATCTGGATGATAATTCAGATAATTCAATTTGTTCATTGAATTTACTTTCTTCCCACTCTATGCTAACTTCTCTTAAATGCCGATCTGATCCAGAACGCATGTTTACCGGTCTGGGAAACCGCACCCGGGCCTGCGACCGTCTGTTGTGTGTCTAGCTGCTCTCGTTTGTATATGTGGACCATGGTGTGCAGCGGAGGACGGGTGTGCAGGCCTGTGGGTAAGAGTAGGTTCTGGGATTGGGCAGGGGTGTTGGTGAGTCCTGTATATGTTTATCAAAAGTGGTCAGGAAAAAAAAAGTGGCCAGAAGTGTTTGTGGTGATGTGTAATGTGGTGATGGTAAGTGAATGGCTTTCTTGCAAGAGTGCCTTCCTGAATTATAGGAAGATTTAGACCAAAAAACATTTTGCTGATATTCTCAAATAATTGAGGCAGCAGCAGTCTTATGGTATGAATTATCCAGAAAATTACCACAATTTTGTATTATTCTATGATTGTTTTGCTCGTTAATGTACAGCTTAAAGACTGGACATCATCATTTTGAATCTCAGTTTCAGAGAGGGTAAGGCAAAGCTGGTTCTAGTATTTCTCAAAGGACAGCAGTCATATAAAGTACTAGGAAACCCATTCTTCTAAAACAAACTCCTGGTGCATTTTCATTCTTTAAAGAAAGGTAAACACTTGAGAAAGCTTAAGTCAAATTTGTTGAAAGGGTTTTGAGTTTTATAACATCCAATAATCCAAAATCTGAATTGATTTTAAATAATTCTTTGTTTTTGTTTTTTAAAATTTTTAAATTTGTTTGAGAGAGAGCGAGAGAGAGCGAGAGAGACAGCGAGCACAAGCTGGGGTGGGGGTGAGGACGGGCAGAAGGAGAGGGAGAAGTGAGGAATTCCGGGATCCCAGGATCATGACCTGAGTCAAAGGCTGACTCTTAACAGACTGAGCGATCCAGGCACCCCAGATTGTATTTCTTTGTTTTTAAATACCTTTCCATTTTCCACAGAAGATCTGTGGTTGGTACATAATTATTTAAAGATACCTGGATTACTGTAAAAAAAACCCAAACCCAGAAAACAAAAAATGTGGTACTTTCCGTTGCTTTGCTATTCTATTTAAATTTTTCACCATGAGATTCCTTCTTGCAACAGGTGAGTAAAAATTTCCATTGTGCCCTCTGCTTTGGAGGACGCAGTTGTTCTGAGCCAGGGGTCTACTATCTATTTGTCTCAATGTCTGACTTGAGGAAAAGAACTGTTTTTCAATCAAATCATCACTGTTATTCTAGAAGTTATGAGAGATCTCAAACTTTTCTGGGAAGGTTGGGGCTAGGACAACTGGAAAAAAGCTTCATGAAGAAGATGGAATTTGAGCAGGGCCCTAAAGGATGAGTAGAATTTGAAAGCTGGGGAGTAGGCACTGCAGATGGGTGAGTATATGACTATGAGCAAATGTGGGGTGTTCAGAAGGTTCAGTGGGGGTGAGGAGTTTGGCCTGGGATACAGTTGGAGAAGATAGGTTATACTGGCTGGAGGTAGCTTTTGAAGAGCTCCAAGTCCAGCATTTAGAGGAGGGGTTACAAACCCAGCAGCCCACGGGCCACATCTAGTCTGCAGATACATTTAGTTTGGCCCCCAGAGTATTGACAAATGTGGGGTTCTAATCAGGAATTCTACAGAAGAATCTGGATTCCTGATGGTGGAAGATCTGCTTCTCCGCTGGCCTCTACTCCTGGGCGGTGGAGGGTGTGAACTAGAGCTGTGGTATAGCTTTGTTTGGATGGGCCCTTCCGTGTGCTGCAGGTTTCCACAACCTGTACCTTCCCTGACACTCAGGCCGTGTACCACGTACCTGCTGAGGTCACTTGCCTTCCACCAGCACACTGGCACAGTGGTTTTCTTATACCTCAGAAATAATTGTACCCATATCTGTAGTAGTAGTGAAGGGAGACCAAGAAGAATGGGAGAAAGAATTTTGTGTAGAAGTGAAGAATAGTCCTATTTGTTTAATATTAAATACCCAGGTGTTTTACTCCCTTCTCTCACCTTTTGGCTCAGATGGGAATTTGATTAGATTATTTAACCTCGGTTTTTGACATCACAGCAGTAACCAATGAGGATCATTCTAGAGACACGCTAAAAATAAAAAGCTCTCTCCTGTTTCTGACCTCACATTTCCCAACCCCCACATTTATTGCACCTTTTTCTCTACATGTTTTTGCCTGCTGGAAGGGACGAAGAAACTTCAGATTTAACAGAACTGCCCAGAAGTTAAGGAGGAGCATGAGGAGGGGACAGAGAAAACTGGAAAGACGGAGCAGCCTCCTTTCTTCTCTTCCTCTCTCTCATTTGAGTCCTGTTTAGAACCTTCTAATTTCTGCAGGGACCACTCAGCTAACACGGTCATTAGAATCCAATATATTTTTTGCTGAAATAACAGAACATAAAATATGACTTCACACACTGATAATTTTCTATTAGTTTGAAATTTTGACACATTTGGAGGTTTTCAGGTACATAAACTGCCCATGGTCAGAAGCAAGGGATGAGGGTAAGTGGGCATGAGGTTGTCACTACTATGAAAAACAGATTATCTTAAATGTACACGTGGATATAAATGACAATAGTGTATTCTACCTTGCCACTGTGACTTGGATGTGAAACCATATATTGCTTATTAAATGTTGTCCAGTCCATATAAGAGAAGCTACAGAGAGAATTCTCAATTATCTAAAAAGGAAACATACCAGTTTATGGAGGAAATTCTCAAAGTCATTCTTAACTTCATAAGGTTTTTTGGTAGCCTTTGCCTGGAGTCTAATCAAAAAATTAAAAAAAAAAGTCAGTAGCCAAACCAATTGTTTTTATACTGATACCAACTAAGAGCTAACATTTACACAAAATTTAATATGCTGGGCATTTACCAGCAGTTTACATATATTCATTCAATTGTCCTTACAACAATCTTATCAAGTTGGTACTACTATTATCCAGTATTATAAATGAGGAAAAAGGCTCAGATAGGTTAATTAACCTGCCCAGAGTCCTACAGCTAGCAAGTAATACAGGATTTGAACTCAAGCAGTGTGACTTGAGCCTTCAATTCAACCACCGGAGTGAAGCATTCTCTTCAGTGAGGAGAGAGTGAGCACAGAATTTGCTGAACTGATTTCACTTGCCCGGCTCTGGTGCAGACTTTAAGGAGTGTCCATGGGGACAGAAGAGTACAAGGGTCCGGCAGGGGAAAGATCTGGGGGGAAAGAGACGGACAAGGCTGGAAGTTCGTGGACGCAGGAATCCAGGAATTTATCCTGATTTTTGTCACCGAGTACTCATTCAAGAAATATTTAGGAAGGAGTTGGAGAGGTGAATTCAGGAGGCAGCAGAAAACTTTCCAGAAATCTGTGGATGAGGGGAGAGGCAGGGGTAGGCAAAAGCTAGGATGGGTAATAACTGGGGATGAGGGAGAAACATTAGCAAGAGAAACAAAAATGAAAAAAGGATGTATGGCTACTAATTTCACTGGCAATTTTCAAGTGAGACATTTTAAAATTATTTTTCCTCCATGGAATTTGTAGGAAGTAAACATTTCTGAAAATTCCAAATATACGTTGCTAAAGCATAAAGTTTAGATTAGCCGCCCTGCAAGGCCGCCTCTCTCGGTTTCTTTAGCATTTAGTGTCGGGCACCCCTCAGGGTGCAGTAGGCCTAGCTCTTAAGGGCCTCCTGCGTTAGTGCTCTGCCACCCACAAATGCCCCTTGCTCATTTTCTGCTTTATCTCTGCCCATTTCATCTCCTCCACTGGCTTTTCCCCTCACTTAGGATTACCCTCTGGGTCTCTCCTCTCCCGCTTTTCTCAAATCTGGCTCTCCCAGTCTGGGTCTCTTTCTCATAGTCCTATTTAAACACACTCCAAAATATTCCTAATGCCCTTTCTCGGTAACACCCTCTTAGAATCTCCTTGAGATGAACTCTGGTTCATCTCACTTCGTTAAAATCAAGCCATCTTCTGACTCACCCTTTTAATTTACAGTGCCCCTCTTGTCTTTTTTAAAATAACAGTGTTATTGACATATGTCTCATACCATAAAATTCACCCTTTTAAAGTGTACAATTCAGTGGCTGTAACCACCACCACTACCTAACCCCCATCTTTCTGCTTACCTTTCCTTTCCTCTCCATGAGTATCTCTTTTTTGAAGATTACAGATAGAAATGTGTATGCTGTGCCTATAGATTTAATAGGCACATGAGATTTATATATATGAATATTTTCCCTTTATTTTCTCTAACAGTGTCCCATTGCATGAAACATATTTGAGTGCTTCTTGCAAATTGCTCTGACTGTCCTACATTCTTCTGTTACATCCTCAGTGATGAGAAATCCTGTCCCATATAGATTTAATTTGGGGGAACTTGTAAAAGTCACCTGGAACTAGATCTATCTTTTTCTTTCTTTCTTTTTCTTTCTTTCTTTCTTCCTTCCTTCCTTCCTTCCTTCCTTTTTTACTTTTTTGAGAGAGAGAGTGTGGGGGCAGGGGAAATGGAAAGGGGCAGAAGGAGGAGGAGAGAGAATCCCAAGTAGGCTCCATGCCCAGCATGGGGCCTGATGTGGGGCTTGATCTCAAGACCCTGAGATCATGATCTGAGCTGAAACCAGGAGTCGGGGACACCTAACTGACTGGAGCCTTCCAGGCTCCCCTGGAATCAGATTTTATAATGTGGGTATTCTGAAGGGGAAATTTGGGTAATATTTGGTAAAAAGTGAGATAATATTCTAAAGTAATGGATTGGATTTTCTCATGTGACTGGGAAACTAACTTTTTAATTTTTATTTTATTTATTTTTAAAAATTTTATTTTTAAGTAATCTCTATACCCAATGTGGGGCTCGAACTCACAACCCCAAAATCAAAAGTTGCATGTTTCACTGACTGAGCCAGCCAGGAGCCCAGAAACTAGTTTTTTTTTTTTTTTTTTTTTTAAACTGAAGTATAGCATCTGTATGTTACATTAGATTCAGGTGTACAACATAGTGATTTGACAGCTCTATAGGAAACTAGCTTTTTAAGTTCCAAAATAGTAATTAGAAGATGAATGGCACACAGCTTGTGGTCTTGCAAGGCGCCCGTCTGAAGGGCTGTGCTCATCTGACACATTCTTGTGCATGTGAGTATGCTAGAAGTAGGTTAGTCTCAATACTTTATAGTTTTCCTTTTTATACTCTAATTTGTAAAATAAACAAATTAAATGTGCCCAAAAAATGTTTGTGTGTGTAGGGGCAGAAGGGGAACAAAGAACTAGCCCAAGGGAGACCAGCTAAATAGGTTGTTTTTCTAGTTTACATCTTCCCTAGGGCAGGGCAGGGTTACAGGTTTATTTATTTATTTTTTATTTGTTATTTATTTATTTATTTATTTATAAAAAGCCTTCAGCTTAAGTCCTAAAGCTGAAGAGTTAAAGGAGATGATGAAGATGTTTAGCAATTAATTAAATTAGCAGAGTAGTTGGTTCTGTGGACAAAGAAGGTCAAAATGTTATTCCAGATGGACTGTTGAGTAGAAAATCTCTTTGCAGATATCTGAGTTGATGTATGTCTACATAATAAACCCATTGTAGTTTTATGTAACACATTTGTTCAATTAAAATGTTTTATGGTTTTTTAAAATAGATTTTTAATTTATTTTTTAAAAGATTTTATTTATTTATTTGACAGCACAGCAGGGGGAGCAGGAGAGGGAGAAGCAGGATCCCCACTGAGCACAGAGTCCAATGTGGGACTCCATCCCAGGACCCCAAGATCATGACCCGAGCTGAAGGCAGCTGCTTAACCAACTGAGCCACCTGGGTGCCCCTAGATTATTTATTTATTTGAGAGAATGAGTGGGAGGGAGAGAGAGAGAGAATCTGAAGCAGACTCTGCACTGAGCTCAGAGCCCAACATGGGGCTCGATCCCACAACCGCGAGATCATGACCTGAGCCAAAACCAAGAGTCGGAAGCTTAACTGACTGAGCCACCTAGGCGCCCCTCAGTTAAAATGTTTTTAATCGCTACAAAGTTGAATAAGGAACAAACCTGTCAAGCTCCTTGTCAATTCTTTCCTGCCGCTGTTTTAGGAGTTTTATTTCTTCATTAATTCTGTGCTTTTCTCTATAAAATCAAAATTTCAAATTACATTTTAAAATAAAGCAGGATTTCTAATTGGGAAAGAATAACAATTCTCTGACTTCACGTCAGTGAAAGTCCTTTACAAACCCAATTCTTCAGCATCCCCTCCCTATGCACTACTTGGTGTGAGGAATCCCCCAGAACATCCCCTCCTATAAATACATACCAAAGACATCACCCCTGATACCTGGGTATGGTTTGGACTCCGCCTTGCTGCTTCCATAGGGGCCCTCTCACCAAGTGTCCATACCCGTTCTTCCAACCGGGCACAGGAAATCTAAGGGCTGTGTGTGCGTGGGCATGTGTGCTGGGGGTTGGGGGGCTAGAGGAAGGTGGGAGGGGAATGGGCACCCTTGGAAAGCAGAGTCTCAAACTTTTGTCCTGCCTGCTGGATAAGACCTGCCTGGCTGTTCTTCCATTTCCCTCTCTTTGCTGTATTTGATTGTGCTTTCCTCAATGCTGCCCCAACTGCCACTCCAGCTCCGGGGAACTCATGCTGCAAACACACCTTTCTGTTCTTCCAGGGCTCTTCTTTGTAAATAAACAGAACTCCAGTCTCTAGTCCCTGGAGCTCTCTTCTGGGCTTTCCATGCTGGGGTGCATCCCCCCAACCACAGCGCAGCAAGGCTTGCTTTCTTCCTTCAGTCCCTGACACCTGCCATGGCTCCACGGTTCCAACATGCATCCTTGACACTTACCAGAAAAGAATCTCCAAGTCTGTTAGACCCTCAGAAGTGACTCTCCTCACTGGTAAAATAAGGAGCTCACTGTAGATGAATTCTATGATTACTTCCAGCTCAAAAAGAGTTTGTGATTTTCTATTTAACAAGAGTATGGCACAAACTTACATCCGAAATTCCTTTTGGTTCCTTGCAAATTGTCTTTTTGCCTCTTTTATAACATCACGGTAAGTTGGAGCAGGTGGTGTGATTGGCTTATGGTCAAGGAAAGATTTTTAATTAGGAACATTTGGGAGAGGAGGACAGTACCCATCGCAGGGGGACTGAGAGGGCCGTCTGGCCTGGGCTTCCCAGTCAGGAAGGGTCTCAATTGTGGACATGAATAGGACGTCCAGAGTTACACTGAGGACTGAAAGAAGACAGTACCCATTGGATCACGTTAAACTTGTGTCCCATTATCTGGTCTACACCACCCACAGTGCACTAGTTTCATAAATTCTGTAATTCCCTTTTTTTGTGGTGTTCTGTGTGTGTAAGTGCTTTGTGTGTATGTGTGTGTGTACATTAAAAGTAGCAATTTGTTAAATGTAAATATTTAAAATGTACCAACATTTCTGTAACCCTATTTAGGCATTTTTTCATTTCTCCATATACTGAAAACCTCAAGGTCTCCTGACTTCTCTGAAAGGCTGTGGAGGTGACTGGCAGTATATGTTGGTTGCCTTGGGCTGGTGGCCGCTAAGAACTGCAGGGAAGAAAGATGATAAGTAGAAGGTGTCATTGTGGTGTGAATGAGCCCGGGGCTCTTGTCCCATCTGTTTCTGATACAGCCTGTGGTTGTGCTCCTAACCCTGGTCTTAAACCTACATTCGCGTCGGACAAAGCAGACACTTCCCTTCTGAGATAGCAATTGGCAAATGACTCCAGGAGGCAGCCCTCAGCTTGTGTTAAAAGAAGACCTGAGCCTCACTGGTAAACTGGGAGCTCTTAAACCTCTGTAATCACCGAGATCCAGGGGATGAGACTGTCCTTGTATGACCCCCGCTCCCCCTCCTGAAGCACATTTCAATAGTACCTGTATCTTTCTCTGAATGCAAATTTAGGGTCTACTTCAAGGCTGTCCTTGATGCTCATTTTAATCTTATTTATCTGACATAAGAAAGTTAGGAGAAGCCCAGTGGAATTGGTCCCTGGAGCGGGACCACATAGGTACTTAACTTTATGACCTTAACTTCCTGAGTACTGTATCTCAGTTGAGGTAACCAGAAGGAAAAACATGAACCGCTCCACAACAAAGATGCTCCCAATAAGCTTGAATAAAATTTATGTCTTTCCTATGGAGCTCTAAACTATTCAGGATTTATCTTCAATCACATATAACTTGAACATCAAGGCCTTAGAACCAAGGAAAAGAACACCTGAATTTCTGTGCACTCCAGACCACTTTCTCAGCAATGCCAGAAGAGATACATTCTCTGGGCTGGTCCCAGAACCTTTTAAGCAGGTTTTTACCAACCATCACTGACTGTGGAGGGAAGCAGTGTTGACAGCAGAACATACTCCATCCTACCAACCACGGAATTTGAGAGGGTCTGGGTGACTATATTACTCTAAAATGGATCAAAATTCTCTGAAATAAATTTTAGAGAAGACTATTTATTGATACATTCCAAATTTATTTTTCCCCTTAATCATATCTAGGTTTTAGAATAAAGTTTTCCTTAAAGAAAGAGATGAGCCTGACTTCACTGTTAATGTCACAGTGGCATATGGTTCCTGAACTTATGATAAAATGAAAAGTTGATTTGTACTGTGTAGGTGAAAATCAAATCAGTGCCTTGATAGCATCTGGCACCCCCATGAGGCAGACCAATAGTGACAATTGCAGGTATTCAGGACAAATAATCATTATTAACTCCAAGGACTCATTCAAGATACAGCCTTCTTCGGGGCAGCATGAAGCAAAATTGGGAAGTCAAAGAAGTGTGCATCTTCAGTGTCCTTTACTCATCTCTCTTGGTGCTTTTCTTTCAGGACCCTCTAGCTCTTCCTCTCTCCTTGGCCATTTCCCAAAGATTATAGAGAGAGTGCCATCCTGGAGGTTGAGCTCTGGTTCTGGCACTGTGCTCAGCACTCCCCAGCTAGTACCATGGTAGCCATGGTAGTTAACCAGGCTGGCCCTCCTTTCCCTTGTCTGTAAAGTGTGGGGGTTTAGTTAGATGGTCACATGGCTCCTGTCCTATTCTGATTTTCTATGAGATAGAATATGAGCCTATACAAGTTCAGAAGTTCAGACCCATCAGTAAGGTAATGGCAAAACACTTTGAGAGTGTGGGATGGAATTTGAGATTTTGCAAAGGAATGAGGGGGAGTTTGTTTACTAATAGGATATGGGGGCTGGATGAGAGGGAGGAGGAGAGATCAAATGTAGCTAGGATAATGGTGGAGTCATTTTACAGAGATGGGGAAGTCTCAATTTGAAGGATGTATTACAGAGGATGAGAGGGTATTTTAATAATGGGCATGTTCAATTAGAAACTCTCAGTAAGTGCAGATAGAGATCAATGGGAACAGATGTGAAGACGGGGACTCTCTTCAAAGGTGATGATTGAAACAATGAGAATGAATGAGACTCTGAGGGAGAATGCAGACAGAAAAGAAGGGAAAAGAAAGGACCTTGAGAAAGATGAGATATTAGGGATTAGTAGTAGAAGGAGGGCAGGAGCCAGGAACTGGTATAACACAGTGTCACATTCCAAAGAAGGAGCTATTTAAGAAGCATCATCAAGGAAGTCATAAAGGTCAATTTTGAAAACCAATAAAGGGCCACCTAATTGGGCAATACCATTACGCATTCAGAAATTACTTTCTGAGCACCGGTTATGTGCCAGGCACTCGTAGGACCCTAGAGACTGATCAGTGAACAAGATCCGCAAGGTTTCCACTCTCATATGGCTCATATTCCAGAGCTTATACACTTTCTAGAAGCCATTCACCACAGAGAGGTCAAGGCATACTCACATAAATCCCCTGCCTAAAGGCATAAGAAGCAAAGCAATTGATTATTTTAAATAGAGGTAGCTACTGTAAGGGCAGTAAAATCGTGTATGAGCAGAGAGTAGCTGGGAATGTGTATGCGGGCACAGCATTAGCCTGAGAGGGCCTGAATATCAGGGAGAAAAGGGAGCTGTCTATCACATTTGAGTAGGAGAAAGGGCAAGAGTGTGGGCAGAGTGGTAGGAGATGAAATCAGAGAGCTAGGTAGAGCCGGATCTTCTAAGGGGCTTTGTAACCCACGAGACATGCAGAGGAAGCTGCTGGAAGCCTTTAAGCAAGGGACTTATTTGAATTATGCCTTGACTATGTGACAAATGGCTTGTGAAAAGTGGAGAAAAAGGGCAGCTCTTCGGAGGCTCTTTCCATAGCTGAGGCAAGAGGGGCTGTGCTGCTTGGACTAGGGTGGTAATGGTGGAAAGGGAGAGAAGTGGACAGTTTCAAGATATGCTTTAAAGGTGGAGTTGATAGAACTCAGGGTTATTTTAAAATAGGTGTCCTGAAGATGGGAATAATATTATAGACACTGGAATTTCTAACAAAACAATTTTGGGCGTCAAGCCTGGCAGTTGGCATTGACAGTTTGGGACAGAGAGTCCTGCCTGGTGGCCAGCCCTTAAATTATTTCGAGTCTAATCAATGCCTGCACAGAAGGCTGACAGTGCACTCCTTCTAACAGTTAAACACATGGGCCCAGGAAAGCATTGTATCAGCTTGTCCAGTTAGCCTACTTCTTGATTAGTCTATCAAACACTGTGGTTAACTCAGAAACCTCATACTGTATTTGAGGCAGTGGTGAGGGGGTGGGGGCAATAACTGGAAATGGAGTGGAGAAAAAAGAAGTTAACATTTGTTGGATATCCAACATAGGCCATGCACTGCAATGGGGTCTGTACAGTATCTCTAGAATTCTGCTTGAGGCTCTTGCGACTGGTGTCTTTGCTTCCGGGAAAGTAGTTCTGCCCCACACAGTCCTATTTGTTGCCTGGCAGAGGACATCCCAGGAAGCCTCCTCCTCATCAGAGCTTCATTTTGCACTGGATTTCTGTTTTCAGTGTGCTGCTTTTTTTATTTTTAAGGATTTGTTTATGAGAGAGAGCGCATGCACATGGGTGGGGGGAGAAGGAAAGAGGGAGAGAATCTCAAGCAGACTCCCCGCTGAGCACGGAGCCTGATGTGGGGGGCTCAGTCTCGCCACCCTGAGATCATGACCTGAGCCGAAATCAAGAGTCGGACTCTTAACCAACTGAGCCACCCAGGCGCCCCAAGTTTTCAGTGTGTTTCTGAGGGCAGTGTGTCTTACTCTGGGAAAGACATTTCATAGTAATGTAGGTTATATTCAAACAGTAGCTGTGATCGAATAGTCAATGTATCAACTGGAATTTCCTGTTTTCAACCAATTGTTCTGCAACTTATGGTCAGAAACACAGCATTGTCTTCAGGAATTATAGACATTCAGGAATTCTGATCATGCTGTACAAATTACCTTGTTTTCAGGGATCTTCTAAATGACATTACTGGAATTAAGTGTCTACATGAACTACAGTTTTCTCTTGATATGAATCAAGTCTGAATGGTAAAATTCCAAAATAAAACTTCCTTAAGCTGGGTCCAAGTTACTTTCAAACTTTGGCTTTCAGATTTCATTCTGCGTAAGTAACATTTTTGACTATTCAGAAAATAATAACTTTAGGGACAGATTAGTCCTCAAATCTAAAAGGGAAGTAGTGGAAGCCTCACTTTAAATAATTAAAGCAGAGAAAAACTAAACCTCACAAAATCTACTCATTTTGACAAATGTTTCAGCAAGACTCTAACAATGTTACTGTGGTAGTCATTTCTCAAAGTCATTATGCTGTACACAATGCCATATGGCAATTATATCTCAATAAAATTAAAAAATATTACAAAGAATACTATAGCAGCATTAATGTAAGCAAAAGAAAAGAAAAAAATTCTCCCATAATTCCACTTTCCAAAAAATAAAACTATTTTCATTTTTCTATGTGCCTTTCCATCTGTCATATACAAATATATATTTTATGTTATTATTATAATGGCATGGTTACTTTCTTTACCCAACTATCACAATTTCCCCATGCATCCAGGTTTTGTAGTCATTATTTTAATGTTTGCAAAAGATTTCAGAGTGTTTGTACCAGAGGGGCTCTACTGCCCTGATGCAAAAAT